CCCCAAAACCCCAAAACCCCAAAACCCCATCAATCAAAGTTCTCTCAATGATTTGAATTATAGACTAAAAATAATTTAATTTTCAAAATGAGTAAACTTGAATAGAATAGTGGCAGTAACAGCAAAGCTCAATTAACCAGTAAAGATTAACTATTAAATTAAAAATGAACACTCACAATAATTTGATAGGTTTAAAAGCAACATCCAGCAAGGCGCTTAACTCATTTCGCCAATAAACTTCAAATGCTGGAAGAAATTCTTCCTCAAAGTCAAGATCATCTAAAAAACTTAAACTGTCTCATGCGTAAAGCTTTGGAGATATATCATCTGCATAAGACTATATATCAAAATCAATCCATCAACTGAATATGAATCCAATTAATCATTGACATCAACCAGGATAACCCAGACTTAAACAGGCTTAGTCTTTTTAGTTTTACGACGATAAATAGCTAGCACAATAGATACTAAATGGAGATTTAGATACTCTTAAACTTTTCTCAAAAGTGAGTGTGAATTGGAGAACTTGGGTATCCAAAGAACATCAAATGCCCTTAATCCATCTTGTGATTTGTAAGTTTCCACAATCTTAGATAATTTAGATAATTTTTAATTAACTTTCCATATCTTAAAATCATATAGAATCTAGATAGTCGAAATCTCTTGAATACTTAATTGAAAAAGGATTTAACTTAGACTAAAAATCCAGTACAAGAGAGGAAACTCCTCTGCATTTGAGTTGTCGGTTGAATATATGTGAGATGGTAAAAATTTTACTTTAAAATGGGGCAATAGCAAACGTTTAAGATACTGAAAAATTAACTCCACTGCATCTAGCAATGAAAAGTGAATGCTTAGATTGCATTCAGCAATTGGTATCTTATGGTGCTAGCATGAAATTAAGAGATCATCAGCACTATTCTCCAATGCACTATGGTATAATTTATGGATAAGGTAGTGGTCTCGAGACTCTTCTTTAATTAGGAGTAGATCCTAAAGAAGAATGGAAGAAAAGATATTATCCTATTCATCTAGCAGCACAAAGAGGATCAATTGTAACAATTTATAGTCTAATTTTAATTTCAGGAAATATTATCCTTAATAATTATTGCTTTGATAGAGCAGTCAACTAATTTTCATATTAATGAGAAAACAGAAGATGATAAAGACCCATTAGATTTTGCGATAGAATAAGGGTCAATGGATTGCGTAAGGTTATTGGTTGAAGCTGGCCATCCTGTAAGGAGATTTCAAATAACTCACTGTCTTGAAAATGGAAAGGCACTCATTTATAATTATCTCAAGACAAAATACGATGAGAGAGCTAAATTTGACATTCAAAATGCATAGAATGGAGGTATATCTATCAAGTATATCACTTAAGAATCAATCTATGATTCAGTTTAAAGGAACAATATGCCTAATGACTCTATAACAAAACAGGGTGGAAATAATAACTTTTAGAATAATCAGTTAAGGCTTCCAAATCCAGAAAATTTCTTTACATTAAGTAGTTAAAACTAATTACTTCACTCAAACTTTACCAATGATATGGGAACTTTGCCATGTAAATATCTATTATTGCATAAATCCCAAATTAGAGATTGGTGGAACCAAAGATAATGAAAGCTAGCTAGGAGAAGAAAAGAAAACCAATAGCAATGACTCTATGTAAAATAACGGAATGAAATTTACAATTCTTAACGTAAATAATAGGCAAATTTAATCTTATAGAACAAAAAAGGAGAAAAGCTTGTTGGAATGACTCTCGACGATGGTAGTACAGTGTATGTAAATTTGAAAAAATTGATGCAAAATGATAAGGCATCTTAGAAGCAATAGAAAAATACAAAAGTTATAGATTATAAGATGAATAGTGATCCTATGAGAATGTAAACTTCATAAATTTAATCATAGATAGATCTTAGTTTATAACCTAAGATCCCACTCATATACTAAGCTCTTGTTTGATTAGATCTGAACATTTAACTATAGGAGATAGAATTGGAGAGGGTGCTCACGCATAGGTATTTTGTGGTGAATATATGGGATCAAAGGTTGCAATAAAGAGATTTAGAAATGATGATAATCATAGTCACAAAGCCTTTCTCACAGAAGTTGACATCTTAATGTCATTTAAGGGCCATCCAAACATCATACTATTCCTTGGAGGATTTAAGCAAGGTCCGTTTAGTTATATAGTTACAGAATTCGCAAAGCATTTAAATCTCTCTAGTTACATAAAGAAAATTAAAAGGTAGGAAAAAGGAAATAAGCAAAGAGAAATATTAACTCTAGAGAGTAAAATTAGATGGGCTCTTCAAATTGCGAGAGGTGCTAATTATCTTCATAAATAAGAGCCTCAAATACTGCATCGAGATTTCAAAGCAGAAAATATTCTCGTGATCAGCAATGATTTAGTTAAAATTTGTGACTTCGGGTAAGTCTACAAAAAATCCTTTAAGCTTAAATATCATATAGTATATCAAAAAGGATAGACCAATAGATGATAACTGGCAACAAGTATGAAGAATATTAGCAAAATCTAAATAGATAATAATAATCTGATGATATAAAAAAGGTAGTATAGACAGAGACGATTGGCACAGTTCCATGGATGGCTCCAGAATTTTTGAGCGACAAGATTTTCACTCATAAGTCTGATATTTACTCCTATGGCGTATTATTATGGGAAATTTTCACAGAGGATGAACTATATCCTGAATTAAGACCTATATAGATTCATTTTCAAGTCATTCATAATGTAAGATTTATCTCTGAATAATAAAAATATTTAGGATTTAAGACCTGAGATGCCAAAAGATATAAACTCAGATATTAAAGCTTTAATTGAAATTTGCTGGCATAAATTACCAGGCTAAAGACCTGAATTTGATTAAATTATAAAAATGCTTAAGTAATTAAAAAAGGAGATCAAGCAAAGTAAAATTTAAAATAGCTAGAAAAAAATGAAATTAAAAAGTCCTACTGTGCTTAACTCATCTCTTTGAAGATTTTTCTTTATCCTTCAAGTAAAATTTTAATTTCTTAATTATTAATAACATTGTATCCTTATCATAAAAAACAAAACATTGAGGGGTTTTGGGGTTTTGGGGCAATTTGAAATCGTTC